TCAATTGTACAAGGGCAACGCTCAAAACACCGGGTTTTACATGCCTTTACTTGTACCAAACTCCATATGGGAGGACTTAATTATGGATTTCATTTTGGGCTTGCCGTGGACGAAACGTGGTGCGGATTCGATCATGGTCGTCATCGACCGATTTTCCAAAAAGGCCCATTTTCTAGCTTGCAAGAACACGTTTGATGCTCTCAACGTCGCCATCCTTTTTTTTTTTAAAGGAGATTGGCTGCCTGCACGGTATTCCGCATAGCATTACCTCCGATCGTGATGTAAAATTTGTTAGCCATTTCAGGCGAGAACTATGGAAACGGTTACGAACGGAAGTTAAACTGAGCTCCGCTTATCATCCGCAAACGGAAGGTTAGACGGAAGTCGTGAATCGGACCCTAGGCAGCATGCTTCGTTGCAATGCCCACGAGCACCCGAAACAATGGGATGACTATTTAGGGCAGGCGGAATTTGCATACAATGCGATGACCAATAGATCCAAGGGGCAATGTCTGTTCAGCGTGGTCTACACCAAGTGCCCAAATCACATAGTTGATATCTCAATCCTTCCTCAATGCAAGAGTAAGGCTGCAGAAACTACAACATAAGGCTACACTGAAATGCTTCAAGATGTCCGGAACAAACTCACGGAGGCTAATGACTACTATAAGCAACAAGCTGATCTGCACCGTCGAGAGAAAATCTTCAATCCCGGTGACCTTGTCATGGTTCGTCTTCGTAAGGAGCGTTTTCAACCCGGCACATACTCAAAGCTTAGTCCAAAGAAGATTGGACCGATACCTATCCTCTGTCGTATCAACGACAATGCGTACATTGTGGACTTCCGCCGACGTACCTCACACCGTCCACTTTTAACGTGTCTGATATCTTTGAGTATAAACCTCCTGATACAGGTATAGTTCAGTCCATTTCCCAAGCGAGGAAATCTGCGCAACCGGGGAGACCTGATGTGGCTTATCCTAGTACTGCGGGATACGTGAACCCTCCATCATGCCATATAACCACCTGCGGACTCCACTACTTACTCAGCTTTTAGTTTTATGCTTATTTACTGTTTTTACTTTCTGCCAAACGCCAGGCTCAGCTCAGCTCTGCTTTAGTAACTAACTTTCCTAGTATTGCTTTAGTGATATATCTGTAGAGAATTAAAGGGATACAGGTAGAAAATGAATATCAATACTTGAAGATTTCTCCTCCTACCTTCATTGTTCTTCTTCTTCTTCCCTGTTCTATTTTCCCTGTTTTCTCTGTTTCTTCGCAGGTTGATTGCGGTTCCCACACCAGATGGTGACAGCCAACATCGATCGGAGAAGACAATAATAAACAATAATTAGTGGTCGATGTTGGTGATCGACCATGGATACTGACAACGATCTGTGGTGTGGTGGTCAGTAATAGGCAAAGGCGGGAGTGGCGACAATGATTGGAGTCAACAGTGGCCAATAGCGACTTTAGCCAAAGTGGTTTCATTTTGAAATAAACTAAGAGGCCATGAATTCGAATCTTGTGCATGTGATAATATGTGTGTGAGTTTATCTTAGTTGACCTAAATAACAAATAACAAAAAAGAGATGTATTCTAATCAATAAATTTTATTAGAATTTGGTTCAAATTTGAATCAAATCTAGATCAAATTTGAATCAGTTCAAGTTAAGATTAAAATCACATTTCAATCAAGGGGGATTTACAAACATACCACTTTATACAACTCTATTTACATATCTAATATCTAAAACTTTAATATTACATATATATACCACCTTATATTATTTTAATATTACATATGTATCCCACATATTTCATTTATACCATTCATATTTGATATGAAAGTGAAGTATGGGTGACATATATGTAATATTAAAATTCGAGATGTTAGATATATAAATAAAGTAGTATATAGTGGTATGTATGTAAATCTCCCTTGAATGAATTATTTACAACCTCAATAAATCATTAAATTGTCTTAAAATATTAATTATCTATCATTTGGAACATTTTGATCTAAAAATTTTTTTGAGGTACATTTATCTTAATAAAAAAAAATATTTGTTTAAATAGGCACTTATAATTAATTTTCTTTTTTCTTTTTCTAATTTTTGTGTTTTTTTAAATATTGGATTCGACTATTTCAGAATGGTACTTTTTCTGTTGCCAGCTCGATGGTTGTTCTGTGGCTATACTTCCTCTTCACCGCCTGTCGTGAAGGAATTTTTATTGCGTCCTCCCACCTGACGCATCTTTACGTTCGGTAAGCCGTGATAACGCGACACCTGGCAACAACAATACCCGTGACCCGACCCGGCGAAAGAGTGGGTTTATGGCACGTGCGAAATTTAAAAATGACGGCACGAACAACGGACCCGAAAATTATTCCGCGGAACCGAGAAAAACTGGCAATACAAACTTTACTGTGCCTTCATCTTCTCCAACCGGCGCTTCTTCTTCCATTTCAGTGAACTTGCTAGCTCCGCATTTACGATGCCTCAGGTTAGTTTCATCTTCTGTAAACACGAATAAACTTGCAAGTTACCGAGCAATACTGTTGCGGTATTATTGTAGTTAAAGATTGGTTAAGTTATCGGTTGAGCTTGCTACCGAGCTTTACCGAGCATTCTTAAAGTCGGTACTGCTAGGTATTTGCAAGCATTGGTGTTCAAAATACCTAGCATTGGTAGCACATTTTGATTTGGCATTGTTTTATACTGTGTTTGCAGAGACGATTTTTTTTTTTTTGCATGTACCGGGAAGTAATTTTGTTACGATGGAGAAAATAAATCAATGAGTAATGAATTTTCATATGTTTTTTAGTAGTTTATTAAAATTTATATGATCCAGTACTGTGATAACTGATTTAATTGGCATTTTATATAGGTCAAGTGGAGATGGAAGGAATATATAGAAGAGTTGTTTGATTGTGAAAACTAATGTGACATGTTTATATGAAAAAAGATTTGAGGAAACCAACCCATCTATTACATTATGGGAATCACCATCTAAATATGCGGAATCTTTCTCTTTAGCAACACCTAAGTGAAAATTAGATGGATTAAGCTCCCTCAAACTACTCCACAGTTAACCAATCTTTCATAATGCTTGCTCTAATCACCATATGCAGGTGTCTAATATTGAATATTAAAATTTTGTATCATTCTGTAGTGTTCATGATGATATTTACAAAATATATTTGAAGTGAGGTACCTGGTGTATGGTATTTGCTAATGGAAAAGCACTAGAGCTCCTCTGATTTAAGTGAAAGGATATGATAATTCCTTTTAGAAGATAAGGAACATAGGCTTAGCGTAGCAAAGATTGGGTATTTGATATATAATTTCAATAATATCAATGAATAATTATTTATGCTCCAATATTTCTATATGAATGATAGATTAATTTATCTTGGATTTGGTATGCAGAGTTATATACATATTGTAGAGGAATTAATTTCAAGGGTTAAGGTTTTGTGGTTAAAATTATGAAGTGCTTCTAAAATATTTTGAGATAAAAGAATATTGTGACGACTTAAAAGGCTTATTTTATCATGAAGACTAAAAGGATCATTTTAATACAAAGATTTAAAAAACTAATTTTATAAAATTGCAATTTAATTATCAATGACTTATGACTTTGAGTAACAAAGAAATCATTAATTGTAAAGTTGCGTGTGATATAAATAGAATTGCTTAGATGGACGTGTGACAAGTCTAAAAAGGATAAGTGACAATTTATTATATTAGAGGGATGATGCATAGAACAATAAAAGAGGACTGGCCTTGGGCATATTTAGAAATAATTATAGTAGAGAAACCTGTACATCCATAGAAAATTAGATGTTGAAAAGTAGACTTTAAATGATTTTAGCATGTACAATGAAGGACAAAAGAAGATCAATGCTGTCAATGATGAGCTTACATTATTTGGATTATTTCCTGTGGATATTGTTGTACAACCATAATAATAAACAGCTCTAGCCATAGGAATATTAGCGTTTTGATTAAAGCACAATCCTAAGTTAATTATGGTATCAAACCTTTATTGGAGGTGATAGGTCTATTTTATAACTAGTATTTATCTCCAATGTATTTTACTATCAAATACGAAGGGTTGTTTAGTTTTTAATTCAAAATGAAGATTTTTTGCTTCAGAAATCTCATCATATCGTTCTTCTTCTGTCATAGTGTAGGTTCGTGACTAGGTTTTTTGTGATATTTAGTAACTGTGTTCTTGGTGCCTGTGTGAAAACTGTTTTTTTACACGCCAATTATTTGAAATGGGGTGACATTTTACGTACTTATGAGGAGAAGAATCTGGATATATTCTCCTTTGATTTATCATACTCCCATTTGAATATTTTCCACATAGGAGGAGATGCACCATACTCTCATTTGAATCACCATTATGTTCCCATTATATACATATATATATATATATATAATGAGTTTACATTATTTGGATTATTTCATGTGGATGTTGTTGTACAACCATAATCATAAACAGCTTCCGATCTAGCCATAGGAATATTAGCGTTTTGATTAGAGAACTATCCTAAATTTACTATGGTATCAAACTATTATTATAGGTGATATGTTTATTTTATAACTATTATTTATCTCCAATGTATTTTGCTATAAAATACTAAGGTTTGTTTAGTTTTTAATTCAAAATGAAGATTTTGCTTCAGACATCTCATCATATTGTTCTTCTTTTGTCACAGAGTAGGTTCGTGACTAGGCTTTTTGTGATATTTATTAACTATGTTTTGGTGCCCGTGCGAAAGCTATTTTTTAAGTGCCAATTGTCTGATATATTTATAAATGGGATTAAATTTTACGTACTTATGAGGAGAAGAATCTCGGTATATTCTCTTTTGATTTATCATTCCACTCCCATTTGAATATTTTTCCACCTAGGAGGGGAAGCACCATACTCTCATTTGAATCACCATTATGTTCCCATATATCTTTCTTAATATAATGTTCTATTGCTTTATGTGCTTCAGCACACTGGGAATCACAATGGTTGCAAAGGAGTTCAAAGTGGACTTAAACAAGCCTTTAGTTTGTCAGGTAATACATATTTTTGATTAGCTCCTTTCTTGTTGCTTTTCTTGCAAATGATTTAGGCTTCATTTGGGACAGCTTTTTTATTACTTTTTAAAATAATTTTTAAGTTAAAAAATTTCTTAATTAAGAAATTCCTGTACTAAAAAACTGCTTTAGAAAGTTATAAGAAATTTGTCCCAAAATAAGCCTTAGTTTTTAATAAGTTTAACATTATTAAATGCAGCTGCTACTTGTAGAGGCCAATATATTTAATAGGGAAAATGGTAGTAACTTTAAAATGATTTGTTGGCCGGATGCCTTTGAGAACAAAAAGCTAAATCTAGCAACTATTTTATGATTTTATTTCATTATCATCAGCCTGCTTGCTGCATTTTCTATACTTCTTCATCTTGCAGATAATTCACAATACCAAAATTTTCAGGTCAATCTTGCCAACAAAAGATGAAGCCAAAAGTTTTCAATTCAAACCTGCCATTTTTCTCAGATCATGAGTATTGAAACCTTTATTTTTTTATTAGGTCGGTCAACTTGAGGAAGCTTACCAAGAATGGGTTCACCAGCCTATTGTGAGCAAGGAAGGACCACGTTTTTTTGAAAATAACTTTATGGAGGTAAACTGGTGTGCATCATTAGCAGAATTAAATAGGAGCGTACTTGATATTGAATTTCTTAACTTGTTGATATTTGATATTCCTAACTGGCTTGCATCTCATATTATCAGTTTTTGACGCGAACATTATGGTGGGTTATCCCAATTGTATGGCTTCCAGTTGTTTGCTGGTCTGCATTGATTTCAATTCGCATGGGAATGTTGCCATTTCGGGCTGCTTTGCTGATTATGACTGGAGTACTGGTATGGACATTGCTTGAGTACACCTTGCATCGATTCCTTTTCCACGTGAAGACAAAAAGTTACTGGTATGCTTGTTTTCTCTTGTTTTTATTGACTGGCTTCAGACTGAAATTTTGTTCCTATTACCAAATAAATCATATAAGAGCTTATCAAAAAACCAATGGGCAGGGCAAACACATTCCATTATCTGCTTCATGGATGTCATCATAAGCACCCTATGGATGGTTTGCGCCTTGTTTTTCCACCTGCTGCAACCGCCATTCTTTGCATTCCAGTAAGTTTTGCTCTTAAACGTGATATTTTAAATGTTAATGTTAAAATAAGTATCTAAAAGGAAAAATATAACTATGGTTAATGGAACCATAATGATTCAAATTTAGAAAACATTGTCTATCCTAAATTTCATATCCCAGTTTTGTTAAATATACAACAACAACAACAACATGAAGCCTTTGTCCCACTACGTGGGGTCGGCTACATGAATCCTTTTTCGCCATTGTGTCAATTCTCATTTAAATCTAATAAAAAAAGATCATTTCTAATATTTTCTAACAAGTCTTTTTTGGTCTACCTCTACCTTTCTTAACATAAGTCAAATCTAATATCTCAACTTTCCCAACCGGGTCATCGGAAGGCCTACGTTTAATGTGACCAAACCATCTAAGACGACTCTCTCTAATCTTATCTTCCACTGGAGCTACTCCAACCTTTTCACGTATATGCTCATTTCGTATTCTATCTCTAAGGGTAAAGCCACTCATCTACCTAAGCATCCTCATCTCTGCAACACTTAACTTAGTATTATGCTTCTCTTTTAATGGCTATCCAGTTTTGTTAAATATACAGATATAAAAATTAGTGAAGGTTGTACTCATGGAGTTGAGTTCCCTCAACTGTCAACCCTTCATGGTGTGCATTATATTCATTAGACGTTGGATTATTGCTTAGAACTTTATACTGATATCACTAGCAACATATAATTTCTAAGAGAAAATTGTTAATCTTGTATTTCTTGCTGAATTATAGGATATTTATACACATTTACATCCAAAACAATGAAGAGATTATAATAGAAACTAAACAAATCACATATGCTGTATTTCCTTCTTCCCAAGATCAAAATATGGTGTGAATAAATGCCATTAAAAGGAAATAATCGGAGCAATACATGGAAGGTATTGAGGCTTGAAGAAGGGAAAATCAGGAAAACTAATTGCCACGGATGACCACCCATGGGCGGCAATAGCAGGAGGCAGCCATTTGGAGAAGATAGGTAGGCAGTAATTTGATGGAAACAATAGTTCTGCCCACATGAATGCCCTATTGAGGAAAATGGTTGGATGTGTGGATTGAGCTAGTTAACTGTTGAAGATCCTTAGAGCAATTTAAATTGAAATAGTTCCTTGATTTTGGAGAAAACTGCTAGATCTTTGCCTATTATGGAATTAATTTTTTTTCATATTTGTCAACACTCCACCTCAAATTTGGGAATATACATGTATCATTCCCAACACGCTTAACATTCTGTCGAAAACTTCTTTGTTTGAAATTTTTGTGAGAACACCAACTATAACATAAGTTTGGCGTACCTTCGTCAATTGATTTTTTCATGAATGAGTGATTAATTCTTATGCGCTTAACTCTACCGTGTTGAATGAGATTATTCCATACTTATTTTGGATTTACTATCAGTATAAAGAGATGTAGGAGATGTATTATGTATTTGTAGATCATTTGTTAATCTTTTAGCTGGATAACTTCATAAACTCCTTTGAGCAATGCAACAAAATTCCTCTTCAATGCTAATTCTAGCCAAGAGTGTTTGTTTTTACTGCAATTGACCACAATTTTATGCAAAAATCAAAGATGGATCTATCATCCTCATCTCTTACTCAAGTTGCATCAATATATTTCTCTGTGTTCTTTTGTTTTGTGTTTTGTGGAATATTGAGCCTCCTCTTGGACTTCCCTTAAGGTACTTCAATATATAATTTATAAAATCCAAAGCCTTTTAGTGGGCAAATGCACCGGCTAACTAATGGTGATGTGTAACCTTCTGGTGAAATTAATAGCTATAAAATATTATGGATATTCATTTTGATATTTAGAGAAGCGTTCTAGAATTTATGGTGGAATGATGAGGGGTTTAGAGGGTTATATTTATAAAAATGCCAACATTAGTCTAGTGTTAGCTGATTTGAAATGTCATTTTAGAAAGTGACCTTTATGTGATGTAAATAGTTGTAAATGATGAAAGATTAGCATAGGATGTGAACTTGTGATCTGGATTTGATGATAGAGTTTTGTAAAGTTTAAGAATATGTTGAAATGTAGGGAAAAAAACTCAGTCCAAGTGTTCTCTATTTGGTCTGATGGCTATATAAAAGTATTTAGAAGAGTTTTATGATTTTGGTTACTAGTTTATGGGTATTGGAGGATGCTTATGAAATGGAGGAAGAGTTGTGAATAGTTTAGAGTATGGGTTTGAGCATGGGCGGATCCACCCTATGCCGAGGGGGGGCAATTGCCGCCCCTGAAAAAATAAAAAAAAAATTATTATATGATTATTTAGGTAATTTGTCCCACTCAATCTACTTTTTAGTCTTTATTAGATGAATTTGTAGGCAATTGCCCCCCTAAAAGTTTTAAAATATTATGGCCTTTAGGCAATTGCCCCTAGCATAATCAATCGATGATCCAAATACAAAGATAAATATTAAAGAAAATCTAAAATATTCTTACGACCAAAATTTGTTCTAGGGGCGCTGGCCCCGAAAACCCCCGCAGGGGTGCTGCCCCTTGACCGCGCGACCTAACCGAACCCCGCCACGGGGTGCTGTCCCCTTGGACCCCTGACATATCTGCTAAACGTACAATGATCAAGGATATGAACAAATAGGGGTCGAGCCAACTTCAAGACAAAAAAAACTCTACACTTTTTGCCCCCCTCCTCCTGAAAATTAAGGCTGGATCCGCCCCTAGGTTTGAGAGGAGTATGTGTTTTCTTTGCTAGGGCAATCTAGTACTACAAATGATTCTTCAATCAACGTTTTGTAGCAAAGAAAAATTAAGAGTTTATCCGGTCCCATAATTATTTTTCAAAGTTTATGAGTTTATATTTGAGTGTATTTGAGGTCAGAATTTTTTGTCAAAATTCGTTTTGGATCTGCTGGAATTCTGGACGCCATATCTATCTCCCATCAATATGGAGTTCAATGATTTGGGGCTTGCAGCAGTATCCCTAGATTTGCATATTTGTGAAGAACCTGTTTATGTTGCATTTTATAAAATATGTTTCAGTAAAGTTATATTATCCATTGACACTAATTCTGCCATTTCTTCTGTTGGCGGGCACTTCAGTTATGGGGTTTAATTAGACTCTTATCGACCCCAGCTTCTGCTCCTGCCATATTTGCTGGTGGTTTGCTCGGTTATGTGATCTATGATTGCACACACTACTACCTCCACCATGGATCACCATCCATAGAACCAGCTAGACATCTCAAGGTACCTTTGCTCTAATCCCTATATCACTTTGTCAAACTTAGGCTTTGTTTGGGTCAGCTTTCTAACTGCTTCTTAAAGCAGGTTTCTAGTATAAAAATTTTATTGTTGTACTAAAAAACTTGCTTTAAAAATCAGTAAGAAAGTCGTCCCAAATGAAGTTTGGGATGGCATTTTTACTGCTTCTTAAAGCAGCTTTTTAATTTTTTACTAAAAATCTGCTTTAAGAAGCAGGAAAAAGCCGTGCTAAGCGATGTCTTAGAATAAATACCTCTTTTTTTTTTTGTCTTTACCAGCGTTATCATCTAAACCATCACTTCAAAATTCAAACCAAGGGTTTTGGGATCACATCTTCATTGTGGGATATTGTGTTTGGGACTTTACCTCCTGCAAAGAAAGCCCAGAAGAGCAGTTAATTCTTTTTGCTTCCTGTAATTAATTCATGGATGGGATAAATCTCCCTAATTAAATATGATTTATGTGAATCAGTTTATTTTTGGTGTAAGATTTTTTCAATTCCATTGTTACTGCTATGATGCTATCTATGATCAGTTTTTTATAATAGCTATGCCATTCAAGTTTAGCCGTTTAGGGTTGGCTTAACGAATGTAAGAACTGTGAGATTGGCCAAGTAGCAGCAGGAATTAACTTATGTTGCATTGCTTTGTTGTGATTAGTTATGGGAGCTTTGCAATTTCTTCTATTAATGCATTTATGCATCGTTTTTATTTGATTTTTTTTTTTCAAAAAAACCTTATAGAGGTCGGTGGACAACCCTTTATAACATTTTGTGAAAGATTTGTTGGTTAAATGACATGGAATGGAGGAATTTTTATAAAAATGTCCTACAAATTAGGGTCAAGTAAAATGTCCTACAAACTCTTTTAATGGTGAGACCGGCCATCCTTACCTTCTAAACTATCATTAGACAACATTAATACTCCTTTTATTAAAGCAAATACTTATAGGCTTTGTTTGGGACGGTTTTCTTACTGCTTTTTAAAGTAGTTTTTTTAGTAAAAAATTAATATTTTTCTACTAAAAAATCACTTTAAGAAACAGAAAGAAAATCATACCAAATAAAGTCATAGTAATTCCATGAAAGCTATCTCAATTCAAACAAAAAAGGGAAGAGGTAGAAGGGTTAGCCACTAGTGTTGGGAGGAGAGAACTTGTGTTAACTATCTTATAATTGCCCTATCGATTAGTGTTGGTTGGCTAAATTAGTGTAAAATTCAAACTTAATGATTTCAAGATGTTAAAATTTTAAAATTTGTATGTGGCCATAAATTTGAAAATACAAAAGCATAGCCTTTCACAAAAAAATAAAACATCTTAAAATTGACTTCTATATAAGATTCTTCACTTTACTACTAGATATGGGTCCATGATTAATTGAATATTCTTTCTTGCTTTGAGCTCTAATGATTGATCAGCATATTGTGCCACATCAACTCCACTAATGGATCCATGTCTGAGAACCTACCCATTGACCTAGTAAACTACTCATTCTTTAAACATGCTTTATTAGTTAGGGTGATAATCAAGTCAAGGTTCCTACCACATAGGCGCTCTTAAGTTTATATCAAGCATAGGATAATCCCTATAAGACAATCGTTTTTCATAGACTTGCTTTTGTTAGCGTTAGAAATGTTCAATATAATTGGATGAAAATGTAGAGAAAGGCCAAGAGGTTTTTCAATTTTTGGAGGGGCAAATTGCATGAAAAAAGATCGATTGGGGGTGGGCTGCAAGCGAACCAAATGTTCGACGAGCTGTTCGTTGCTCAGTTGAATTAAAGATCGTTTGCGATCATTTAATTAACTAAACAAACAAATTTGAACAACATTTTAATACTCTATCCTTAAATAAACAAGCTTGAACACTAATGTGTTAGGTTCATTTATGTTCATGAACAACATCATTTGAAGCGCGTGAACAAGCTCGATAAGAAGCTTGATTCATGCTCGATTTAGAACTCATGAATAAGCTCGATAAATAAATTCATATAGCTTAATCATATTTTCATTTTAAACAGACAAATGCTTTTATTATAAATTTAATTTCATTTTATTTTATACCTTTAATAGAATGAATTTTTTCATGAACAAGAGTCATTTCACATCTGTCATTATTTGCTAGATTGTTTGTTTAAGATGCTCATGAACAAATATAAGATGATTCATATATCGTTTGTTTGTGAATGAGCTCATTTGGTAGCTTGAAATACTAGTTATGTATTTATTCATGATCTTGCTCATTTGATAGCTCAAGAATACTCATTATAATTATTCATGAACGTCCTTGTTTGATAGTGTAAAAAAATTTGCTAAATATATTCACGAACATAGCTTGTTAAGACTTATTTGTTTAAAGCTCCATAAATACTAAACGAATCGAACATGAACCGAATATGAACTAAACATGAACACCATTATTTTAAACGAACCAAACATGAACACAAACAATAAGTCTCGAATCAAACACGAACCGAACTTTAACAATCAAATAATAAACGAACTCAAACATGAACATTCACATACTCGGCTCGGTTCATTTGCAGCCCTAGTTGGGGAAAAAAATAAAATTCAGGTGGTAGATTATAAATAACCCTTACTATACTAAGAGCTTTATTTTATGAGTTCAAGCCAGCTCGCAAAACAGTTTGTTTATTTTGATAGAGAAAAAATTATTATGATTCAAACAATTATCATAACGAAATGAAAAAAAAAAAAAATTTAGAAGAAAAATAATAAGGATTCACTTAATATAAAGAGTATGATATAATTTTTAAACATTTCAAATAATTTTTTTACTTAAAAACATAAATAAATGCTAAATATTTTATTTTTTTTTAATTTTCTATTCCAAATATTTCTTGTTATCATCGCCATCAATGTATTTTATTTACCAGTTTATGCCACCAAAGTTCAAAGAAAACTCCTTTGAACATACGTATTATCAAAGCGCCGGTCTTTTAATGTGCTGTGAAACCAGTGGTTTGCAAGTTGAAAACTGTGTAGTAATATGACGTTTGGCTTGAATGATCAGTGATCTGATTATTTTTTTCTCTGAGAGGATTACATTGTTAAGTTAGAAAAATAAAAGGTCATAGAGTGAATATTTTGAATACTCCAATTTGGCAACTTTATAATATATTAGAGAGAGCTTCTCGTTACTTCAAGGTTTCGTTTATGACGACTTTCTTACTGATTTTTAACATAAAAAAATTTTTAAGGCTTCGTTTCATACGACTTTCTTATTACTTCTTAAAGCAATTTTTCTAACTTTTTGTGTTAGAAAACTGCTTAAGCAGCACTAAGAAAGTCGTCCTAAAGGAAGCCTAAATCTTCCATTTGGATGTGTCAGATTTTATAAATTATTATCATTTGGTCATATTGTTAATGCAAGTGTTTTGAAAGCCATGGGAGTGTATTTTAGTGGGAGCAACATTTCTCTTTCTTTTAAATTCAGCATATTTTTAGTATGAGGTGTGAGAGTAGCATGAAATACTAGAAGGCAAAGGGCTATTTATTTATTTTAATTTAATGGATTCTATAATACATAATATTAAAATCTTAAAATATTTAAAAAATCTAAAGTAACATGTATATAGGAGAAGGTATTATGGATCATATTTGTGCATGTTTCCTTTATTTTCATTAGATCGCTGTGAGAGAAGTGTAGTTGGGAGCATTCATGTTTTATGAATGGTTCGATTCTACTATTCTTTGAGGTGTACCTATATTATAGTCAGTGGATTCAAATGTGTTTGTGGATGACACTTGATATTAATAGCAAGAAATCTTAGAAAATAAGAACATGAAAGTTTAGTATATGAGAAAGAAAGGAGAGTCTAGGAAAAGACTAAAGAAATATCATAAAAAAAATACTCAAGTAGATCAATAATATTCCAAAAACTCTCAAATTTGTTTATTCAGCTCTTATTTATAGGAATATGAGCGTTATAGAGAAACTTACATAAAAGATGTAAGAAATACATTATTAATTATGACTCATTGTGGATAGTACATGTCCATGACACATTTCTCAATTAATGGGCACTCTGTGACTCTTATCTTTTGCTCAACACTCGGCCTCATGCTGAGTTCTTTGGGCGAGCAAGCATGATGAGCCTCCTGAGCAAGTTGGTAAGTTGATGTGTGAAAGTTGTTTTCCTTTTAGGATCGTCCAGGACGAAGTTGGATCGTCCTGGGACGATCGGTACAGGTTTGTACAGGTTTTTGGGACAGCGAAGTTCGTCCCAGGACGAACTGGGGTTCGTCTGGACGAAATTTTTTCAGAGAGCAACTCGTCCAGGTACGATTACTGTTCACGTCTAAACAAATTTTATCCAGAGGGCAAATCGTCCCGGGACGATTTGCGATCGTCTAGGACGATTTGCGATTGTCCGGGACAATCTGGTTGGATATATATGGAAATGAGATCTTTTGAAGAGATAGAAAAGGACGAGAGAGAAAATCGAATGAAAAAGAAGAAAATGTAGTTTTTGGGCGACTTCTGTCTGTTTCAGTCCGTAACTGCAGTTAAGAAAGTTGACCGACTCAAGGTAAGGCACATTCCGCCTTTCTCAATTTTCAGAAATGAGATTTTTGACGACTTTTCTGTTTCGAATTTTGTTTCCATTAGTGAATAATTGATTCCGTTTTGCACTAATGAACATTTTACCGCATAACTTTTGATATGTTTCAGAGATGATAATTGTGCACGTTTTGAGTATTATATGGAATATTTTTACCAGGTATTTTGAATTCTGCGGAGTTTTGATCGAATAACAATTTATCTGGATGTCTGAATTTACTGCCTTAGTAGAATAAAAGTCTTACAATGTTGTTTTACACTATTTCTGGTAATTTGGTAAATTTCTGAATTTGTGAATTTTGTGTAAATTCCGTATACTGCCGTTATGCCGCTGACGATTTTTTGACGAAATCCGATTTTCTGAATTAAATGTTCTGATGTGATGTGCTATCAGAAGGGAGTTATAAGGGGCCAGAATCCTTTGAGATTTTGTCTGTGTCAGGAAAATCTGAAAAATCTGAAAATAAGTTCTGTTCTGAAAATTCTGTATATCTGTTCTGTTATGGTGCTATAAGCACAAAGGGATACATAAGGGGCCAGAATCGTTGAGATTCTGTCAATGTCAGGGAAGGGAGGCATAAGGGGTCAGAATCCGTCGAGATTCTGTCAGGGTCAGGGATATATGATATGTGATATGTGGAATGTGATATATGAAATGTGATTTTATCTAGTTTGAATTCTGATTTGTACGATCCGACCCGTTCTGTGATTTGAAAGTTTTATAAGATCTGTTCTGCACTCTGATTTGAATTCAGGTATCTGTGATTTTATTTCTATTTGATCAAGTATCTGTTCTGTTTGTTATACGATTTCTGTACGACGGTGAATTTCTGGAGATTTTGATTGGTGAGTGTAGTCTTGCTGAGCTGTTAGCTCATCCTTGTTTTCTGCGTGGTTTTCAGGTTCTGGGAAAGGGAATGAAGTCTTGGATTAGCAATTTAGTGTCCGATCAGTGATTAGGTATTTTATACTTTTGATTTTGTACAGTCATGACTTTTCTGTTCTGTTCTTTAGCCATGCACTATATTGTATATGATTATTTTGATGAAAGAAAGAAGAAAATAGTGAATGCATTTCTATATATGTATTTAAAGTTTATAGCAGCTCTGTGTGTTTTTATTTGTTTGAATATCTAGAAGAAAGTTTTGAAGCAAATTCAAAAACTAGATCCTGAATTACTATCTGTCGCGGCCCGACATGAAAGGATTTGTTCCGGTCGGAATTGGTCGTGACATGATGTTTGGTTGTGCTGATGAGTCTATAGCACAAATTTTTGGACTACTAGATACAAAGGACAAGTTCCTTCATGTTATGGTAATTGCGGTTTGAGAATCAGTTGAGTTCGGAGGATCGGACCCTAGAAAGTTTTAGATTATACTTCCTTGTAGCATTGTTGAAGCACCAATGATGGCTTGCTGATTTGGTTGAGAGCAAATAGCCTTGGGGGGTTGCCCCCTATCGAGGAGAGTGACTTTTGAGAATTTCAATGGATATGTACGAGCTACTTGCAACTCATGTTTGAGGTCATTCTTTGATATTCTTGATACCGGTGACTCACATGCATTCTCTAACAGTTGAATCCATGTGGAGGTCGAGGTGATCATTTCAATCAAGCTCTTATTGTATTAGGCACTTGTAAGTACCTTTTAAGAACCTATAAATTATATGCTAATGGTATATATATTTCCTAAATCACATAAAATAAGAATGTTATATTTTTTACAGAACAATTATTACCTCCGGTGGCCGGACGTAGCTCTACGTGCGTTCACCACTTATTTACTCGGTATTGCTAGGTATTGCTTGGCAATAACGAGAAATACAGCTCTGTCAAGACCAATACTGAGTTTTCCTAGAAAAAATTCGGTATTTCTCTGTATTGCTCTGTATTACTCGGTATTGCTCGGTATTTGTCTTCACATAATGATATTTCTCGTTATTGCCGAGAAAAATCGACAAATACTTGGTTTTGTGCCTGCTACGTGGCGCGATCTCAGTGCCGGCCGAACGTAGCTCTACGTCCGGTCACCGGACCAAATAAAAGTTCTTTTTTACATGACTTCTGAGTGGCTCTAAAAAAACCCATATTTTTAACACATAGAAAATATAAAGGAATAAAATAATAAAAATTTAAACAAAATGTCAATGTAATTATATTATTTTAAATAAAAAACCAATCGAAGGAAAACTTTTAAAATTAAATGAATAAGCTGACATATTTTCATTTTAATTAATTTTCACTTAACGACAAAATCAAATTAAATTAAATTAAAGTGTATATTTTTTAAATTTAAGGACATTTTTAGTTATTTATTAATCATTATTATCCTTTTTTTTCTTTGGAAAAGCGCAAATTTGAGGTAGAAATACGTATAGTGTACCAAACCGCGGAAATGCGGTTGGGGACATACAGATGAACTGTTCAAGTGGGCGAGCGAGGGGCATTTTCGTAAATTTACACAGTATTATTAATGCGTTTAGAAAAGGCGTCACTTTATTTATAATAATTAATTTATCTCGTCGTGCAAGGAGACAGGGAACCAGAAAACAAAGCAGTCGAAGGTGAGAGTTGGGGATAGTCAAAGCGGCGGTGGTGGAGCTCGTCGCCATTTGGTTCGATGCAAAATCCCTTGGAAGTTTAGTATTTCTTGCGATCAAGGTGGGGTCTTCTTATCGTCCATTTCTCCATGCGACGGCTAATCTTGATGTTTTTGATTTTAGATATGGCAAGGGGAGGGGAGAGTTCCTCGTCAAATTTTGAGTTTGGTTCGATATGGAAGAGTCGGGGTTCCGGGAAATAGTTGTTGGGGGGTTTTGGAATTTGGGGGTTTCGTAGTATTCATCTGGGATTTTGCAGTTCGTTTGGGGGCTGTTTTGTTTGCTGCCATGCTCTGCGGTAGTCCTTCTATAATTGTGCTTTTTTTGGTTTAGTTTTGTTTTTTTGTGTTGGTGCTGTCGTGTATGATGATTTCTGGAGGCTAAAGTATGTTTTTTAAACGGAATTTTTGGTTTTAAATTAGAATGGGCTGCGCTTCTCTTTGGGAGATTGCGGTCTCGTTCTTTTATCTTTCTTAGGTTTTTCCTGTTGATCCTTTTTTGGGAATGCGGATTAGTCAGCTTTACTTTTTTTCCCTTTCTTTTTATGTTGTAGTTTTGTCCTTCTTAATGTTCTAGTACTTAGTTCTAGCTGAGGGTGTGATCTGGTTTTGAACTAGGGTTTTGTGCATCTTAAGGGTATTTTAAGTGTCTCGGGATCAAAATTCAACTTTTGAACAAGATTTATGCTGTTTGGAAGCATTTTAGGTTGCCTTGTAGTTCATATGTAATATTGTCAAGCAACTTGATCTAGATTTATTCAGTTTAGTTTACTTTTTTGCTTTCTTTTTGGTGTTTGATCTAAGCAGACCTAGATTGGTGTATCTGATGGTTCTGGTGTGACTTGAATGGAGTCTACAAGGAGCTGGTTCCAAAAATTGCATCTTAGAGGAGATAAAGTGAAGTCTGGTCAAACAAAACAAAGGGAAACCGGGAATGGGAAGGATTTGCAGAAGCCTCCAGTTGATGAGGCTCCTTCCAACGTTACCAAGCAAAAAGTTGCTGCTGCAAAGCAGTATATTGAAAATCATTACAAGTCTCAGATGAAGTCGTTACAAGACAGAAAGGAGAGGTAAATGCTTATCATGTTAAACAAAAACAAACAAACAAGTTAATTGTAGTTAGAGGGATTGCATAAATGGCCATAATTTCTGGTATGTTTTGCTACTTTTATGATAGCTGAATATTCGCATGTGTATTCTGCCTTGAGTTTAATCTTCTTCGTAGTTTATCAGAACCTTGAATGCAAGGCATTGACATAGTTCCTATCGCCCAAGTTATTCTAATGTCACTTGGAGCTATTAGTTGGTGAAAATTTTTCATTTCACTGAAGTTGTCCTTCTAAGGTTTGTTTGTCAGAAACTTTGGCTTTTTCTCAACTATCATTGAGGGTGATGTGAAAACTCAAGTACATGGCCGGCACATCTCATTTGGTGGATAAATTATTTATGTTGAATTAATCTGGCTTCTTCTCAGGATTGTAGTCATCATATAATTGTTGTATGCTCTTGTCTCTGATCAGAAAAATTATCTTTTTAGCTGCAAGAGAGTGCTATCAATATCTTATCTTTGGGAGATGTTATCTCCGTCTATGAAAGATTCCTATTTCGTCTGTACATTTCCAATTTGAACAGTTTTTTCACTAAGAACTACAACTAAGAAAAGAATATTGAAGAGATCTAGCCAATGATACTGCAGTTTGATCTTAACAATTGATATGGAATACATATGTTCTTCTTGTATTTTATAGCGATCAAGCTATAGCCAGACTATTTTCTATTTAAACATAAATTGAGGAACTCTTATTCCACTTTGTCCAAAAAATGTAATACACACATGTACATACATGCACATGCACACACTTTCAAGTTGGTTTGTTGTATTGGGATCTATTAATGGATGCCAAAGGTATTTTAATTTGTGCTAGTAATGCCTTCAATCGAAGTAAGAATTGTTTGGGACGCCCAAGAATTTCATAAGGCCTGCAAAAAGTCACATGATCTTTTGGGCTCTATGCTGATAGTTGCATAACAGTGATGTTGCTTTTGATGGATAAGACTTTATTATCCGTAGTCTACTCAATTAACCATATAAAATTAGGTGTAGATTCTACTAAGGATTTCCTCTAACTATATATATGCTTATCACTTGCTAGTCATATACCAATCGCCAATCCTTTTATGCATGCATAATATACCCTACTTTCCTATAAAATTAATAATTTCACAGGCTGCAGTGTTTCTCCTCCTTTAAATGTTTGTGTAAGAATTTGGGCATCTTGGGATAATTTGCACATTTATTGTCTCAAATGCTCTTTTGTTTCATCAATGAGGATTGGGGGGTTGACTAAAGATCACATTGCTAGAAAGTTGTGTAAAATTGATATGTTCAAAATAATTTAACATATCCTGCAACACTTAATAGAATAAAATTCATTAACCCATGAAGTTAGGATGAGGCTAATTTTGATGGTATATTTTGTTCTATTTTTTCTGGATCCAGGCGCTGGAGCTTGGAGAGAAAGCTTGCTGATGCTGATGTCTCTGAGGAAGAACAGAACAACATCTTGAAGAGCTTGGAGAAAAAAGAAACTGAGTACATGCGTCTACAAAGGCACAAAATGGGGGTTGATGATTTTGAACTTCTGACCATAATTGGAAGGGGCGCATTTGGAGAGGTTTCTATCGTTACTTACTCGTGCTATTTTAGCTTTATGGATTAACATACAATTTAAACATCATTTACCGTTTTCTTGATTAAAAAATTTGTCTATTTGTCTATTGATAATATTTTTTTGTTCATACTCATAAATGGTATAAAACACATATGAAGCATATAAGTGAAGTGTGGGAAAAAATGATATGTCTCAAGACATGGTTGAATAAAATGCATCGAGTTGGCCAAATAATATTGAGAGGAGCAAGGCATGGCATGAGTAAGATGGGAATTCGGAGAGTTAAAGGGAGAGGAAATATAAGATTTCGTTAGCAAGTGCTTCTAAAAAAATTTGATTAAAATTGTCTCAACCTATATTATACACGACAATAGTGTTACATTCATAGCAAAGAGTTATTAAAGCGTATTCATAGAGGTAATTAAAAGAGATGACAACAGTTTGAGTTATCCTTGTTCATTTTGCTTGAGTAATTGGTTGCCCGTTTTTATGTTAGTAATGAAAGAAATATCTTTTCACAAGTTCTCAAATTCTATGATCATTGACCAAACGTTTTGCTTTTAATGCTTGTCCCATCTAGTTAACATTTGAATTTCTTAAGTTTTACATTTTCTTGTTTCTTGAACTTTTTAAAGTTTTTCCACCTTTTATCAATGTTATGTTTCTGATGACATGTTTGCATGAATGCTAGGTTTTGACCCAAAATCAACTCAGCATCACATTACAATTGTGTTATATTACCAAATTGAGGGTTTCCTATGATATCAAATGCTAAAATCTTTTAAGAGAAAATTATAAGAATGCCTTCCTCGTAAGGAATTTAAGAATTGTTGGTTATTTTCTTTTATTTCTTAGCCTTATATTTATGTTGTCTTTTTTTTGTTTTCCTTTTAATTCAGCTAACAATGAATGTATTTGTTAGACGCCTAAAGGCACAGAGCAACTGAATTTCCTTAATTTCTCCATGAACTATTTCAAGCAGCAGTTGCAATAGCAAAAGTTCTGAAATCTTACTAGATGATCTTAATGAACAAGAGACAGAGAGATTGTGGATGCCACCAACTCTGCATCATGGCTAAACACACGACTTAGAGGGGACTTGGATATTAAAAAAAAAGATTAATTTACTTAAAGTATATAATTTATACAATCTCATATTAAGAATGAAATAAAATTAAAGGTGAATGTGCTGGAAAAAAGAAAGATTAAAGTAGGAAAAAAGAAAAAAAATTGTGTTGTCAAGTCTAACTGGCCTACATTTAAGCCTAAGCACCCTACATGCTTAGGATTCTACTATGTCTACTAACCATTTGTTCGCTTGGAAGTTGTTGGAGAAATCGTTACATTCTTCTTTTACACAACGGTATGAGGGCCCTAATATTAATTATGGGCAAGTATGCCTCTTCTAAGTCTTCTCCTAGAGACATAGTATAACATGCTATAAACTATCAAAAAAATTGTAGAATGATGAAAACATCTTACACATGTAGATATGATGTGTGATGATCAAAGAATGATGAAAGAATGTTTTGTGACCTTTGATTGTAGGGATGCTCGAACTCTTCGTAGAAAGTGATTTTGCAATGTAAAATAAGGTAGGATTCACAGATGTCGCCAAACATAGATGTCTACAATTTTGATATTTTTAGAGCTTGAACTTGAGCAACCTGAAGGCATTTTAGTATAGTCATTGTTTGAAGGCTACATTTATTGAAAGGTTACATTAAATCATAGCTTGAACCTATAAATGAATCCAAATCTTGGCAAAAATAAATAAAAAATATATAAAAAAAAGAATCCAAATCTAGGTAAATTTATAGTTTCCCTACTAAGAGCTGGATGGGATGCATTACATGATTGTTGAATAGATGAGAATTCACCATGTTGGCTATCATGAGATCACTAGGACCACCCAATATCAAGCTCTAATAATATCAAAATATTAGTTTTAAATTAAAAGTAGTTTGAAATTACTTAAATAATTTTTTTACTATGATGAAATGATTTTGAATTGATGTACAAACTGCAAACTGATTTTGTAAAAATATTAGCTATAAAAATATTAGGACTTGAAAAAATTAATATTAGGGTTTGTAGCTTGTCATTAACCCTTTAACGTGCAACATGTTAGTTTTTTACCTCTAGTTATGATTTTGTTCATAATTTCTATAACAAATTTTCTATTGATGTCAATAACAATTGTTAGTTCACATCCCATTATTCTTTAGAAATCAACTCCAGAGAACCTTAGCAAGTGATAGGTTAAATGTTCACAGTGAGCTGTTAATTGATGAAACAAAGTTCCATAATTTTATTGATCATTCAAACAAGCAAGGTTATATAGCTAATGTTTGAACATCATAAAGCACAAAATGAGAATAAATATCTTTGATGAATAGGTCTAGCATACCTATGTGCCTCCTAAGGAAATGAAAATAAACTTCAATGAGTGATTTTGTGAAGCTTTTTGTGAGCTGATGATTGGCGTTGACAAATTCTACTTCAACATCACAATGGTCAATGGGTAATGTGATCTCATATGAAGTGATCTCAATATAAAGCAAAATCAAATATCTGTGTGCTTAGTTTAAGAGTGATAGATGATGTTCCTTGCAGGGTTAACGATTTCACTATAAATTGTGGAGGTTTAGAGCTCTGATATTTCTAGGGATGGAAACGATAAGTGTGGAAGGAGGTGGAAGAGGATTAGGAAGAAAGATATTTTAAACATATTGAAAATTTATTTTGTTTCATACCCAACAATTCAAAATGTAAAACTCATGTATTCTTTAAATTCCTAATACAAGCTACCTAACAACCCCTAATAGAATATTAATTGGAATTATTCTCCTCTATTTTGGCGGCTAAGACATAGAGAGATTTATGTGGAGTGAATTTTGGAGAGTTATCTTGATTTCCTTGTTTTCCTTTTTGGAGATTTTGCTCAAATTTTGCCTAGGTTTTCTTCTTGCTTGGCTTGATTTGTGGAGTGAGTTCTTGGCTTATCCGAACTCCTTGAATTTTTTTGTCACAAATTCTACTTGTATGACTTGAATTATCGAGTTGATTTTGACTCATTCAATACTTAAATAAGATCAAATTTTGACTGATTTGGGTCATGGTTAAATTTCTTAATTTGGCGAAATTTAGATTGCATGAAGGTCCCATTTTGATACCATATGTCCTTGTTTATTTTATGTTTGCAAGGAGCCTATTGCTCTTGATTTGGCTTTTGGCTAAACCATGTTTGTTTACTCAATTTATTCCCTCTTGTGTTGAACTTAAGTTCTGAGAGCTTCCCGGATCAGGTTTATGCTGGTGAAAGTTTCTGTTAAATACTCTTTGGTGTTTAACTTTAAGAATGTAGCTTTGCATAGTGGATATGAACACACATCAAATGAGCAATATGCATGTATCCGAGTATGTTCGTTTATCATCTCTTTTTATAGATTTTTCTCTTGATTAAATAAGTTTAATTTTATAGTTATTCGAAACCTTGAAACATGTATTGTGTAAAGCTTTGGGCAGGCATAATCGTTAGTTATAAAACATCAATGCATTTGGATACTAGCAGAATAATTTGAGTCACCTCAATTTGCAACATGTGTCCAATGACTATTACAGAGTAATGTCCTGTAAACATCTTATAGTTTATTTGATAGCAACAGTCAGCAGTGTATTGCTTGTTTTTTTTTTTTATTCATCCGTAGTGATTCATAACAAGAACTTAGTATCTATTCCACTCTAGGATGATGCAGATTTGGGTTTACTAATATCGGTTGATTCAATTGGCCTGGCAACAGAGTTTGTAGAAGTTTTACATCTGGAAGGTGTTTGGTGTATGGGTTTTGAAGGTTCCTATAAATCGTGGTTATTTAACATCCAAACTCATGTTTGAAGTGCCAAGATGGATTCTGAATTTCCTGTGATGTGCTCATTAGAATAATAGAATCCATTTACCCCATGAAGTTGGCTCATTGATTCCCAACAGAACATGTAGTATTAGTTTCATTTAGCAGGAAGTCCAACTTCTAGTTGGTAGAACTAGACTCAACTTTGCTTCATCTTTTGTGGGTGGTATGTTTTGTGGTGAGTGGGTTGGTTGTTTTGGGAAACTGAAGAAGCTGTGGTTTATATTATTGCATTAAACTAAACCAAAGAATATTTAGTTTTGTTCATATTTTTACATTTCTTACTTGAAATATTGAGGGTGTAAGGGCAGCAAGTTAATTGGATTTCTTAACCTGTGAAATTTTAGTTCTGAACTATTTAAAGCCGTAAATGTTAGTGCAAGTATAATAAGCTAGGTGAAATGTCCATCTGAAGGCAGGGTTTTTATCTTTAAAATTACTATAAATACATATTTGGCTTTATGAATTAGATAATTAAGATTGATAAAATGTTTCTGCTGTGTAGGTTCACACCCCTTAAAGCATGATTGATGTGATACATTCAAGAATTGCACGTGGAATTCGATAAGAATCACAAAGTATACTAATGTAAGATTAGAGTATCGTAGGTTAAGGCTCAAGAATTTTCCGTTATTGAAATGTTATGATAAGCAGTTACAACTAGTTGTCTAGGCACAATTAACGATAGATCTCGAAATTATCACAATGAAGCAAATGCGGAGTAAAATAGAATCCCACGACTAATATTTAGAAATTTCGCAATGAGTTACCTTGCTCACTCACACTCAAGTAGGGCTTAGCGGAAGAAGATCTTTAGCAAACTCAACGATGCCACAAGGATGGTAGCAAACCCAACGGCCTTGAACCACGGGAAGGTTGACGGTGGCGAGGACGGCGGGAACGATCGACTGTTGATGTTCCAATCGTAGCTTGGACTTCGGCGGTCGATGATGTCCGCAAGAATCGGCACAACTCGTTCCAAGTACCCATCAACGGTAGAGTCTTCTTCAAATCCCACGTCAAAGAATGGGGATCGTAGGATATTAAGGCTTCCGTCGGCGTTGAATACTAATCCCCACTCAAACTCCGGGT